TTTGACAGCATGGGCTAACCGCACAGCGTACAAGCCACAGCAGCGGGCAAATCGGGTGCTGGAAACGTTTCCGATCGAATTGCAGGCTCGTTTCAAACCAGTGTTGGCAGATTTGGACAAAGATGAAGGTTTGAACTCTCTTCTGGAACACCTGGGGGTACTAAACGGTGAGCGTCCGGGAGATGTGCAGAGAGATGCGACAAACAAAGCTTTGTTCGACTACTTTATTCATCGGAATGAGAGCATCACGGATTTCGTGTTGAGGAGAGACGCACAAATAGCAGAAGCAGAAAGGCATGGATTGACACTACCAGACTCTGTACTTTCAAAATATTACGAGGAGTGCGCCCAGCTATCAGCACAAAACAGAATAAATCTTCGCACTCTGGCCAATGGAGCCGAAGACAGCAAATCTATCCGACAGGCGCTACTCAAGTTGGACATAAAAGAGAAGTCTGTGCTGCCGACTCCCGCCGCAACGACCTCCCGAAATTTCTTGACAAGTGAGGGGCGCGAAGTTTGTGAACAGTCGGGGCAAGAAAATGATGAGGAGCGGGTAACTTACGTTGACAATGATGATGTGGATTTCCCAGAGGACGAGGTTGATCAGGTATTCGCAGCCTTTGACCATCAAAATATAACGGAATCTGAGATCGTGTGCGTGTTTGCTGCAATAGTGGGCGACAAACTCGGAGCAGAAAAGAAAAGAACTTGGCAAGAATCACGCAAACTAAAACAAGCAAGAAAGGTGGACAGAGATTTCTTTGATCGAAAGCGCCGAGATGACAGCCGACCTCCAAAAGCAGGGTATAGACGAGTGTCCATCAAAGAGTTGAAGCGACGATCCAGATGTGCTAACTGTGGGCAAAAGGGGCATTGGAAAGACGAATGCCGCAATCCATACAAACCCAGACCCGAGAAAAGAGATGATGATCGCAAAGATAACCGAGGCAAGGATGGAGGTAAGCCGTCCAGTTACTACTTCGACTTGTCCGGTGAGGGTGACAGCAATTTCTCGTGGCCATCGATGTTGGAGCTCGTAACGGAGAAGCTCGAGCAGATTAGGGTGTCGGATTTCGTGGGCAGTTCTCTGTCAGACCTGGGCCCTAGCGCCTTGGTAGACACTGGAGCCGGACAGGCTCTCATCGGCAAGCCAGACTTAGAACGGATGATCTCTGCTTTTCGAGAGCGGGGTTTTGATATTCCAGTCAAATGGGAAGCTATCGACAGGGCGGCGGCGGGTATCGGCGGAAAGGTGCAGCCGATCGGAAGAGCCTTTGTGCCAGTCAGCATCTACCAGTGCGGTGTGATAGAATTTCTGGTGCTGCCCACGCCCTGTCCGCCTTTACTGCCGGCCAGGTGGCTAGATTTTATCAAGGCCCACGTGTGCATGCCCGAAAACGTTCTGAGGATCAGCGGCCAGGATGTGGAGATCCCACTGCATCGGCATCCGGCAGGGCATCGCTCAGTCAATCTTATCCAGGTTCCCCCGGAGAAGTTCAAGATCGACCAGGCGGTGATAGATCAGCTGCCAGGCTCCATCTTCTGGGACAGCCAGGCCAGCTCAGATCAGGACCGGAAAGGGGGCAGGGCAGTGAGAGTCAAATCCTCTTCTAATTTTAGGACCGAGGGGGCAGCGGTGCACAGTGTACATAGAGAGGAGGATGAGGAGGACGAAGAAGAGGCTGAAGATCAGGAGGAAGAGGAGAAGGCGTCAGGACCCAGGAAGATCAGGCCAGGAGCCCGAAAGCTGAAGACAGGCCAGGAATCGTTCTCCTCGACTAAGGCAACTAGGGCAGAGAGCTGTGCGTCTGGCCTCGGCAGTTCCGGTCATTCCATTGCGTCCCTTCCGCAGCCCATTTCATCCCAAGCTTTCTCAGCCGACATTCAGGAGAAGTCTGGCGAGCAGGCAGATCATCGGCATGGTCAAGTTCTACAGCAAGGTGCAGAAGCCCTCGCGGATTTCGCATCTGCGTCGTCAGCTTCAGAGGGCATCCGGAGCGGTGGGCGCCGAGGTTACGGAGGGCGACGAGGAGATGCCCATCAACACGGAGATCGAGACGAGCCTCGATTTCACCCTCGAGGAGATGACCTCGACGGAGAAGGAGTGGCTCTACATTGGCGAGATGGACTTCCCCATGCAGGTGAAGCGCTGGCGGCGCCTCGCGCTCCGATTGATCACCCTCGCCGCCCAGGTGCGTCTGAGCTTAGCAATGGCAGAGCTGATCCCGATGGCCTTCAAGGAGGAGCACGATCCGGTCGAGCTGTGTCAGCATCCCGCGTGGGCGAGGCGCTCGGGGAGCAACTCCACGAGCGTGTGCACTCACTGCTCGCGCTGCGGTCTGAGGCTGTCTCTTCGGGACAAGACTCCAGGAGAAAAAGCCGAAGCTCAGGGGCGCAAGACCCTGAAGGAGAAGAAGAAGATCAAGAGCATCATCGAGCAGGTCAAGAAGGAGATGCCGTTCGAGCCGCCACCTTCTCACATCAATGCGAGAGCCAGCAGCTCAGCAGCGGGGGCGTCTGCGAAGGCCACGGCGGTCAAGACGGCGGCCGTCCCGAGCAAGCCGCCGCCCAAGCCTCCGCCGAAGGCCAAGGGCGGAGATCGCACCGTGCTGATCAAGAGGGCCCCCACGCACCCGGACGACCCCTGGCGGCCAGACCAGCCGATCACTCGGAGCGAGTTCAACGCCGAGATGAGCAACCTCATGACGAGGGTCGAGACCGTCATTCAGGCGGGAGTGACCCAGATGGCGTCGGCAGCATGGATCATCCCGGAGCACCCGAGGGGGGACGAGGAGCAGCCGGAGGAGTTCGGCTGAGATCCCCCTCTGGCGCCCGACGATCGCAGCCGCGGTCTTCCATAGTGCCGGCATGGACCCTGTCACAGGCGGCTCGGAGGAAAGCCTCCCAACGTTTGGAAAGCGAGCTGACTTTGGCCTCAACGGCTAGAAGGGCGTCTGTAAGCATCAGAAGGAAAGCTCAGGACACATCCGAGTCTTTCTGTTTGGGCCCGATTCTTCATCTTGACAGCGGCGAGGAGGCCACTCCAGAACAAATTGCCAAGTTGGGGAGTTGGAAGAGTCGAGACCTGCGTCCAGAAGAAGTCAAAAGCTTTTGGGTAGGAGTCGCCCTGAGAAAGCTAGGAGACGAGTTCCCGTCAGGCCTGCTGCCCAGAAGGCTTAGGAGGATCATGATTTCAGGCCCAGGAGGGCCGGTCAAAGACGAAGTTTGGTCCCCCTCAGTTCTCCAAGACATCGCCTCCGAGGATCCCGAGGGCTGCACTCAGATTACTGTGTGGGAAGAGGAGGAGGAGGAGGAGGAGGAGGACAGCAAAGCAGCAGGACAGGAGGAGGACAGAGAAGCAGCATATCAGGACGACAGCAGCTTCCCAGGACCAGGAAGGGCCGAAAGCTCAGGAGATCGGAAAGACGTCGACGATTGCTGGGTAGAGTTTAAGGTTCAGGATTGACTAGCTGAGCTGGCCTCAGACGCTCCCGCCTGTCCTTCGCTACCCAGGAAAGGAAGACAGGATATTCTAAGGTTGCTGGAGGGAGGAGGAGTGAAAGCTTCAAGGAGGAAGAGGGCTAAGGTTCTGAAGGAAGTCCTCGAAGAAAAAGGCGTGACGTCGTTCATGGAAGTTTTCTCGGTTCCCAGGGTTGCTACAGAACTCAGGGAGCGTGGAATTCCCCCTGGCCCCTCCCTGGATATACTCACGGGGTGCGATCTCCTGATGAAGTCCGGAGAGGCAGTCTTGTGGGACGCGATCGAGAGGCTGCAGCCCCAGTTTATCATGATGTCATCGAGTTGCAGAGCGTTTTCCCAGGCAAGGAGGGCGGTGTGGAACACGATGGACCGAGAAGCCAGGAATCAGGAGGAGGAGAGAGGATTGAAGGCATTTCAGCTGTGCGCCCGCATCGCTGAGTACCAGGCCTCGAAGGGAAGAGCGTTCATGGTCGAGCATCCCGATTCGGCACTGTCGTGGGAAACAGAGACGGCCAAGGCAATGTTGCAGATCCCGGGGACCAGCTTCGTGACGGCCCATCAGTGCATGTACGGTTTGCAACTGTCTCCAGAGGGTCCCTCCAAGAAGCCCACGAGGTTCGTCTCGAACAGCCCGGAAGCATTAAGATATTGCCGAGAGGAGTGCCGAGGGAAGCATAAGCACTTCTCTCTGGAGGGGGGCTCCAGGACCAGCGCCGCTGAGCGCTACCCCGACGGCCTCGTCAAGGCCATCGCCAACGGAGTGGAGGACACACTGTGGCGCCTGCTCGGTTTAGGTTCTCAGCCTCTTGCTGGCGTCTTTTCAGGTTTTGGAGATTCCGAGACAGAGCTCTCGGACTTCTGGCCAGATCCCGAGCCCGCGACTGTTGAAGCCTGGCCGGGGGAGCTAGAAGGTCCCGAGGACATTCCAGCGCCAGAAGGAGAAGGAGGAGCAGCAGCTGAAGCAGGAGGACAAGCGGAGGAGGAGGAGGAAGCTGAGGAGGAGGAGGTGACTAAGGAGATAGAGGCCGAAGTTTTAAAGTTGCATGTGAACTTAGGTCATCCTCTTCTGGGAGATTTCTTGCGAGCGCTGCGTGTTTCTCGTGTTCGTCCCGGCATAGTGCGCTGGGTGAAGGACAATTTCAAGTGTGAACAGTGCGAATCTCAAGCTAGGCCGAGTTGGCGTCGCAAAGGACATTTTCCCCGTACGTTCCACTTCAATCGTCTCATAGGCATCGACTTGCTATACCTCAACCTCCTTGGGAATAGCATACCCGTGCTTAACGTAGTGGACCGCGGCGCGTCGTTCCAGATTGCCACCGTGCTGAGACAGGCCACCGCCAGGGAAGCCTGGGCGGGATTCAGCCGAACCTGGATTCGATTCTTCGGGGCGCCCGAAATATTGCTCTCGGATGGTGGCCCCGAGTTTAGCGGCATGTTCGAGAGAGGGTGTGAACATATGGGCATATACCAACACATATGCGACGCTAACTCCCCGCATCAAAATGGAAAGGTGAAAAGGCATGGAGGGTGGTTGAAACAGATGCTCCACAAGGCCGCTTCAGAGGTTCCCCCGAAGGACTTGGATGAGTTGGAAAACATGATCGCCGAGACCGTATCGACCAAGAATCGTCATTTTCATCGTGGAGGATATTCACCATATCAACTAGTGCTAGGTGAGAACCCGAGAGTGCCGAGAGTATTGCTGACCGACGAGCCTCATGACGAGGTCGGGCTCGACGATGTTTCACCGCAGGCCGGCGAGCAAGACAGTGCAGCGGCTATTTGTTTGAGGAAGCACAAGATCAGAGAGGCAGCTCGAAAGGCCGCGCTGACTGTTGAGGTTCGAAGTCGGATGAGCGAAGCTGCCCACACCAGAAAGCACGTAGACAAGCACTTTCATCTTGGTCAATGGGTGTATGTATGGAGGAAAGTAACCCCTGCTAGTCGCTCTCATCTTCTACAACGTGACAGGTGGGTCGGTCCCGGGGCGGTGGTCTGGCAGCAAAAATCGACTATTTGGGTCGCCATGAGGTCCCGACTGTGGAAGTGTTCACAAGAACAAGTTAGGCCAGCTACTCGACATGAATCACTAGGTGCCGAACTTCTTAGCCATCCCCGTCTGGATCAACTTCGTGAGGAGCTTAGAAGACCTAATCAAAGAGTAGGAGCGATAGACGTCGAAGCCGAAGGTCCACCTCCGGAGCAAGCTTGGGACACCGGGCAGCCGGAGGAGAGTCGAAGAGGAGCCGAGGATCTAGGAGGAGCTAGAGGAGAAGAAGAAAGAGTTGTTCAACTCGCGCCCCGTGCTCAGTCGCCGTTGCCACCGATCGCTGAGGAGCGAGAGGAAGCGCCGCTCGAGGCCGGTCAGGCCCTAGGCGATCGCAGCACCGAGCCGCCATCCAGGCAACTGTCTGACGCCAGGACTATTCCGCCCAGTCCGTCAGGTCCCCGATCTCACTCCGAGGAAGGTGCTGAGTCGATCCCCTCAGTTGAAGCAGGCCGGAGGCCTCCTGAGGAGGTGAAGCGCGCTGGCACTCAGGAAAGCTGGAGGGATCAGAGGAGAAGGATGGATGCCCGAGAAGTTGCCCAGATAGGTTTCAGACCTCCCGAGATCCCCAGGCTGACCCCAGCGGAAGAAGCAGATCCAGGTCCAGGGAGAGTCAGGAGGTCCATAATGGAAAGGGAAGGAGGAGGAGAAGACACAGGAGGAGGAGGACCATCCAGAACGGTCATTCAGAAGACTTCGGAAGGGCCTGTCCCGGAGGCCGCGCCCAGGACCGAAGGTCTCCCCGCAGGAAGCTCTCGAGATCATGAAATGGGCTCCGCAGGTCTCTTTGAGGGCAAAGATGAGGAGAAGGGGGAAGCAGAGGAGGATGAGGGAAGCGAGGATGAGGAAAGCGAGGATGAGGAAGACGAGGAGCTGTTCCAGACTCTGCTCGAGTGGGGGACGGCGCTCGAAGAGGGAAGCGCCAGTTTTGCGTCAGCAGCTTGTTCGGCCAAAGGTCCGGTTCCCCCTCGAGGATCAGAAGTAAGTTTGAAGCAGTTTTCGCCGTTGCAGCGCCGTCTCTTTCTGTTCTCGGATGCTAAAGAGTGGCGAGCTATTATATCATCGGGAGCAGTGAGGGTGGTTGGAAAGGAGGAGGCCGCTCAGATCAGGAGAAAGCATCCGGAACGCATTCTTTCCAGCCGCATGGTCCGACGATTTAAGCCTCAAGAAGGCGTCGGCGCCGAGCCGACTCCGAAGAGTCGCTGGTGCGTGAGAGGACATCAGGACCCAGATTTTGACGAACTGCATGTGTACGCGCCAACGCCGCAGAGTGAGAGCATAATGTGTGTACTTCAAATAATATCATCTTTGGGATGGGAAATGAACATAGCGGATTGCAAGAACGCCTTTTGCCAATCAGATCCTCTCAAGCGTCCGCGAGGGGCCGTCTACTGCGAGCCCTGCGAGGGGTTGCCTCTGAGGAAAGAAGAGTTGATAGAGCTGCTAGCGCCCGTCTACGGTCTGAACGACGCCCCGATAAGATGGCATCATACGCTTACCAGCTGGCTGGCGGACAACGGTTATAGAAAATCGCTGGTGGAACCGTGCATGTGGATCAAGCATAACGCAGTGAACAGATTGGAATCCCTGGTCTTGATAGAGGTTGACGACTTGATAGTGGCGAGTGAGGACAGCAAAGCAGCCGAGCTGAAAGCAAAGCTTACGAGCCGATTCAAGTTTGGTAAATGGCAAAGCAAAGAGGCAGACTATGCTGGGAGACACATAAAGCAATATGAGGATAAGATAACAGTAGACCAGGAAAAATATATAAGAGAACAACTCACCCCGATGTTCCTGGACAAAAGCCGCAAAGCCGAGCCAGCCAGCCCCTTAAGAGCCGACGAGATCAAATCATATAGATCCATGGTAGCACAAATACAATGGGTAGCCAGGGAAAGCAGGCCCGACGTGGCCGGAGGAGCCTCTCTGCAAGCAGCCGCACTTCCTTCTCCGAGCGTCGAGGACGCTCTCTTGTGCATCAAGATTTGCCGGCATTTGAAGGCGACGACTGCTCAGCGCATATCTATTTGGCCAGTAGACATCGGCACGATGACGATGATCACTGTTTCGGATGCGGGAGAACCAGGTACAGCCAGGAGAGGAGGAGCACAAGGAGCATGGGTGGTGATGGCAGCAGAGGGAGGGATCAAGAGCAATAGGAGAGTGAAGGTCAGTTTGCTTTCATGGCGTTCTCAGCGTCTTCGTCGCGCAGTCTCGTCCACCGTTGCGGCGGAGACTCTAGCTTTGTCCTCGGCACTTGCCGAGGCTCAGTGGTTGCAAGTATTTTGGAGAGACGCAGTGCACAACGATGTTGAGAGGCCCGACTGGTTCAATTCACTGAGCCCGTTTACTTCAGTTTTGGCGTCGAGTTGTAGACTGTGCGAGGAGGCTTCGACACTTTCAGTCGTCGACGCCAAGTCGGTATTTGACACATTGAGTAAAAACAGTGCAGGGTCGAAAGCAGACCGAAGGAACGCGGTGGAATTGGCTCTTGTCAGGGACTCGATGAATGCTGTTGGATCTTCCATCAGGTGGTTGCCTCACTCCAGGATCCCGGCGGACCAGGTGACAAAAAGTGACCCAGCCAAGGGCAACCTCGCCCTTCACGACATCCTCTGCAAAGGATCGATGTGCCTCGTCGACGAAGAGGGCCATATGGGGGAAAGAGTACTCAACCAGGCTATGAAATCGAGATCCCGGGCAGCCTCGAGGAAAGCGCTCGAGATCGAAGCTGTGCAGGAGACAGATCGAGGAGATAAGGAGGAGATCAAGTTGTCGAGGACAGAGGAGATAAGGGAAGAAGCGGAGGAGAGCCCTGAGGAAAGAAGAGGAGGAGGACCCAGAGGAAGGAGGAGGGCTGAGAGAAGACAGGAGAGGAGGCCAGAACGAGGAGAGGAGGAGGAAGAAGAGGACTCGTCCCCAGAGAGAGAGAGAGAGAGAGAGAGAGAGAGAGAGAGAGAGCGAGCGCCCGGCCCCAGCCAGGGAGGAAAGGAGAGCCCGACGTTCCACGCCGCCGTCGGCGGCATGCAGGCGCCTTCCCTCTTCCTCCCTCGTGTGTCTTTAGATCCGTTGAGTATAGACCCGCTGTCCCTGACTAGTCTTGCCTGCCTTGTCAGGGATTGCCCTAAGTGCTCGCATGTCGGATCGAAAGGTCCCGTGTCAGTTGCCCCGTGCCGAGAGGGACCCTTTTTCCCTCTTCCGTAGCCTTTAGGCTTGCAGGGCACTCAGTATGTGTACATGCTGTGCCACGTTTGTGTACTGAAAAGAGCTGCCCCCCTACCGTGATCACATCATAGTTTCTGTTTGCCTGCAGACCCTTCCGACGGCCCCCTGGACGGAGGGGAAGGGTCTAACACCGGCGTGCCCCTGACGATGAGCAACAGCAGGACATGAAACAGAAAGAGGTCATCGCACTGGCTCGTCGGGGCCTGCCAGGGAAAACCGTTCGACACGCCACCAGTGAATGCCTGGCGCCTGGCACAGCGCAGACGGAGGCCACCGTGCGGTCGAAGTTCCCTCCTTCGCCAGACCACCAACGGCTTTCCCACCGCCCCCCCGCGCCGCCAGCTAACGAGATCACCGAGGAGGCGGTGGCGAAGGCCATCCACAGCTTTAGGGGGCCACATGCGAACCCGACCCCTGCCCCCCGCTATGTCTGAGGGCGGGGTAGGGGTAGGTTTCGCATGTGGCCCCCTGAGCTTCTCGAAGGGCGTCGCGCCAGGTCCATCAGGACAACGCCCCGACTTCTACAAGCAGGTTGTGGGCGAGAAGGGGGACAGGCCAAGGTGCGCGACTCTCGCCGCGGTGTGCAATCTGCTTGCAGATGGCCGAGCCCCGAGGCAGCTACGGCCATTTTTGGGTGGAGCCCGGGGCAAGGCCCTCAGGAAGACTGCGAAGGACGGCACAGAAGATACCCGACCGGTATGCTCAGGCGAGGCCATTCGGAGAGTGGTCGGCCAGGCCTTGCTGGCAACAGAGTTGTGCGCTCTGCGAGGCCGCCTGGAACCTTTGCAGCTGGCGGTCGGCGTGCGCGCTGGCGTTGAAGCCATGCCGCATTTGGCCCGGCAGTGGAAGCAGGACTTCGCGCGCGACTTGGCCCGGGCGTTTGTCAATAGCGACCGGGCGAATGCGCGCAACGAGGTGGGCCGACACGCGTTCTTGACTCGGATGCGAGAGGTGGCCCTTGGCATCGCGCGCTGGCTCGAGTACATCTACCCTGCGGACATCCCCACGATGGTCTTCTACCGAGGGCGCACCATCGACAGCGAAAGCGGAGGACGCCAAAGGATGTCCGTTGATCGGTGCCTGCCGCGCGATGGTGCAGAGGATGCTGTTCGAGTCATTGGGGATTGTGCCAGTGCCGACGAGCACAGCAGTCCAGCTGCCCATCCTCGAGCCTCCTGCGCGCCTGGACATGGCCCCCGGCTTCGCGGACGACGCCCTCGTCGCAGGCCCGTCCACCGAGGTGCTGCGGGCAATCGCGCACCTGGAGGCAGTGATGCCCGCAGTCGGCCTTCGCTTCTCGACGCTGCAGCTGGTCCCAGCCGCTGGGGCCCAGAGCACGGTCGACGCCGCCCCGCTCGTGGAGCTGGGGTGCTCGGTCTTGTAAGACGGCAGTTCCGAGGTGCTGAAGTCCCCCATCGGCGACGAGGAGCACTGCGAGGCTTTCTGCGCGCGCCGGGCCAAGAAGCGGGGAGGCATCGCGTCGTTTCCGGCCTAGTTCGGAGACCCCCAGGTCACGCACTACCTGCTGAGGCAATTTGTCAATGCGGGGAGGGTGGCGCACTTGGCCCGCACCACCCCGGCAGCAGTGCTGAGGGGCGCCGCCGCCCGTCACGACGAGGACGCGGCGGACGCCGCCGCCGCGGCGGTAGACCAACGCTGGACAGAGTCGCAGAGGAGGCAGGCAGCCTTCGCGACCTCCAGGGCCAGGCTGGGACTGAGGCGCATCTCGATGGAGATGGGCGCCGCGCGCGTGGCCTCGCGGGCGGCCACCCACGACTTGCGCGAGCGCATCCGGCCTGGGCACAGATGGGGCGACGGCGCGCCAGGCAGTCCTCTCGGGGGCGCCACGGACAGGTTGGTCGCCACCCTGGGCCGCCACGCCCTCGCAGCGACGATCCGGGCAGAGCTGGCCCAGGCTTGCCTCGGAGGCAGCTGCGGGGCAAAGCGGTCGAGGCGCGGCGCGAGGAGAGCCAGCCTGCCGACGGGGTTCGCTCGAGCGCGCGCTCGGCGCAGGGAGCGGGGACTCGGTGCGAGCTCACCCTATCTAGGACACTTGGCGTGAATCTTTCCGCGGGCGAGTTCGCTGACAACGTCGCGACCTTGCTCGGCGTCGATGTGCTGGGCGAGGGCAGCGCGCGCCCGCATTGCGCGGCCCCGCTGGGCGCGAAGGGCGCGCATTACTTGTCGCGCATGAACGGTTGGGGCGCCGCGCTTGTGCATAATGCGATCAGGGGCGTCTTCTACGACAATTCTACTCGCGGCGGGCTGCGCCCGGAGCTGGAGGCGGCAGGGCACTGGGCGATCCTGGGGCGCAGGGTGCGCGGCAGACAGCTGGCGAGCACCGCCCGGCAGATGCGCTCGTGGTCCCCCGCGCCACCTTAGCGCGATATCTGCCGGGCGGCAACCGCGCGGTGAGGGCCGACAGGGTCTGCTTCGACTTCGCCTTGTTTTCGCCCTGGGGCCGTCGCGCTGGGCAGGCGCGGCGGCGGCGCCCGGGCTCGCGGCAGAGTCGCGCGACGAGCACAAGCGGCAGCGCAACAGAACGGAGGAGCGATGTCGCGAGCGCGGCCCCCAGTTCCGGCCAGTCGCGCTTGAGGCCCAGGGCGGCGCGTCGAGGGGCGCGGGCGCCGCTGTTCGCGCGTCGGCGGCGGCGGCGGCGAGCGGAGAGGGCAGGGGGGCGGCCGCGGCGCGGCGGGAGTTGCTTCGTCGCATTGCCGTCATCGTGGCGAGAGGTTGCGCTGCGCGCATAGCCCGCCGGCGGGCGAGCGCGCGCGGTGCTCGTGCCTCGCGGGCGTCAGCGGCCAGACTAACGTGGGCCGCGGACCACGAGGGCCCCTAGTTCTTTCTCTTGTCCTCCTCCTCCTCCTCTTCCTCCTCCTCCTCCCCGCCCCCCCCTGCCCCCGTTTTGCGGCGCGGTCGCGCGCGCCCAACGGCGGGGCCGGGTGGCTCGCACCCCGCGGCCGCGCCCTCGCCCAGTGAGCTTTCGCCGCGCGTTGTGCGAAGCGGTCATTTCCCCCCTCGCCCCCCCCCCGCCCCCCCCCCCCTCCTGCCCGCCCAGCCCCCTCCGACGTGGTGGCGTTAATCTGGCCGGTCAGTGTTGCGCGCTGCCGCCGTCGCGCTCGAGCCCGCTTTCGCTAGGCGCGGTTATAGCCTCCATGAGGGGGGTCGGATCTAAAGCAGAATGCCCCTGGACGAGCAACGTGCGCTCGTGCTCGTAGCTGTTCGAGAACGGTGCGTTGTTTCCGTGGGCGAAGTTGTTCGTTTACATGTTTCGTGGCACAGCGCCCGTGCATCCCGCGTCCGGTGGCGACTTGGCCCCCCGCCTCGGCCCCTACAGTCTGGCGGCGCCTTTTCTCTGATTTCGGCGGCGAGGTCGTTTCCACCGCCCCCCGGGGCGCCCGGGTCAGGGGCAATCGCTCGCAGACGGGCTTGGGTTTCAAGACCAACTTCGCGCCGCGCCATGGCCTTCGCGGCTTCTTGCTCTCGCCCCGCGTCGACCGCCGGGGCTCCGCCACTCGTCGCGTTGGCGAGCGCCCGCAGGGGCAGCCTCTTCATGGGCCCCGTGTTCGCCGTGCTCAACAGTTCATCGCGCTCGTGCTTTTCCGCCCGCCATCGCGGCGGGCGACGGTTCTCTCGGGGTCGCCCGGGCGGGCCCTGCCCAGCCTGCCCTGCCGCCATTGCGGGGGCGTCAACTTACCGCAGCCCCGCGCCGCTTCCTCTCTCGGCTCGCCCTCCCGGGCTTGCGCAGCGCACTCCGCGTGCCTGCGCAGCTCGTGGGCCCGGCGCCCTCAATCCAATCGCTTGTGGGTGCAACCTCCGACGCCGGGCAGTTGCCGGACGCAACGTTCGCGCCTGCGGTGCTGGCGAAGGGCCCCGAGCTCTCTGCGACAATGTCGCAGGGCCCCCCTGTGATTATGTTGCAAGAGGAAGAAGATCGCGACGCCTCCATTGCATCCGCCTGAGGGCGTAGCCGAGGGTGTCAGACAGTCGATAGGTCGGACGTTATCATATCCGGTGTTGGCTCTGGCGTCCGATCGCCGTGGATGCCCCGATCGGTCGTTCACCTGGGTCCCCGCAGTGCGACGAGGCGTCGGCGCTCCTGGGGAAAACCCTAGTTGGGGCCCAGAAGGCGGGCGTGGACGTCCTGGGATCTTTCAGGTGCGGCGCGCAAGCAGTGGGCAAACACGGCCACTGGGGGCTGTGTGATGGGCTCTTCACTTTCGTGCTCTGGGGCCCGGGGGAAGGAGGCGGCCCTGCGGTGGCGCGTCGTCCGTCCGTCCGTCCGTCCGTCGCCGTCCGTCGCCGCCTCGGGGCGGGCGCCATTTTCGACGCGGTCACGGGCCGCGACTTCAACGACCAGAGCCAGCATAGAGTTGAGGTGAGATGCGCCCGACAACTTCGGCCCTAGTGGCCATCATGGCTCCCGTGTGCCGGCCTTTCGGTCTCTGGGTTACGTTTAACTGCGAACGTAACTACCACGCCTGGCTGCGATCCTACGAGGACGCGGCCTCGCGCGGCCGATTCAGCGGCTACGTGGCGTTATAGCAGCTGCAGCTCGGCGGCTACTTGGCCAACGTGCAGCCCGACCCTTCGCGGCTGTGCGACGAGCCGCCTTGGCCAGAGGTGCTGGAAGGACTGGGCGTGCACAGGGTCATCCTCGACCAGTGCCGACTCGGGCATCGAGATCATCATGGGGGCATTTTGCGGAAGACCGCCGGCGTGGTCTCAAAGCCCCAGGATCATCCAGCTGCGCCAGCTGACATGCGCGCGCCTCGAGGGCCACAGCGGCATCGACGCCCAGGTCTGGCCATGGGGGGTGGCCGAGTGGTTTGTCCTGGAAAGTGGACTTACGCCGCCGCCTCAGGCGCTCGCATCTCGCGGGCCGTGCCCATGAATGCGACGCCGCAGCGGCAGCCTTCCCAGAAGTTGCCTCTGGGGCCGCGGAGGGCGACATCAGGGGCGCAATGGCCGCCGAGCGCGCGCGTTACTCGCGCAAGGCGCGCGGGCGCAATATTCGAGCGGACTCGCCCATGCACTCCCAGGGCCTGGCCGCCTGCTGGCGTCCTCGCAGCGCCCCGATCCACCGGGAGTGCCCCGGCGTTCGCGAGGAGAGGGTCCGCGACTACCTTGCGCAATCCCACGAGTTCAGCAAGTGCAGGTTCGTGGACCTCCGCGCGCGGCCGCGCCCGCGCGCCGGCCAGCGCCCGCGAGCGCCAGCGCGAACTGGGGAACCGCGCCTTTCCAGTGATCTGCAAGCTCAGCTACCAGGCGGAGCCGGCCTCGGAGCAGCAGACGGAGCGGTCCCTCTGCCGGCGCCTACAGGTGCATCAGGAGCCAGCCCATCATCCAACGCTGGGGCCCAGGGTAGGGGCTCCGACGACTGCGTCGTTAGACCGCAGAGTTTTGGCTCTGGCGTTTGCGTTGCAGGACAAGGCATTACGGGGAAGCCCAGTTGCAGGGGCAGTGCCGAGACGAACGGCGCGACTAGCTGCTGACGCAGCGGTCGGCAATCCGACCCCCTTCCGCTCCTGGACTCGTTTTGACGTTGCCACGTCGCAGCGGGCACTGCGGGGCGACTCGGGCAAGACGCGCATGCGAGAGCTACGCGAGTTATACCTCCAGTGGCGGCGCGCCACTAAGGAGGAAATGGCGCGAGTTCTGCGAGCAGCCAGCATGGCGCGGGCAATCCTCGACCTCGTCCCCACAGTTGTCAACAGTTGTTGGGATGCCGTGCGTGACTGCCACCAGCGCATCAGACTATCTCTGCTAGCATGCACTACGCCTTTTGACGCGATTCAACTAGCACGTCGAATGCGACATCCTTCGCCACAAGGGACGCATGATATTGGCCTGATCTTCCGCGCCTCACCGCGGCACAACAGCTGGGAGACTGCGAGCAAGCGCGACTCGACGCTGCTGGCCGCCATCGACCGTTCTCGGCTCCAGCTGTTCGGCGCGATGGAGGCCTTCATCGTGGACGGCGAAGGCGGCGTGGCCTCGGCGCATATCGTGGAGGAGATGAAGATCCGTGGAGTACGGGTTGACATCAGAGCACCCCGCCAGCACGCTTCACAGAGCGACGCGGCGCCATTCGACGTCGCACATGCCATGCCGCAGAGGAGCAGCTAGAGCGCGAAGGCATCTCAGCCAACTTCGAATCCGCGCGGGCCAACGCGATCTTCGCGGGCAGCTGCCTCACCCACGTTGGCGGCGTCACCCCATGCAGCGTCGTCTTCGGCAGGCAGCCCTCCATGCTGCCACCTCTCGAAGTAGACGAGGATGGGACATCCTGCAACTATGTCTCTGGTGCTGGCTCGCCTGTTGGTGGAGAAGTGCAGCCTGGTCGACTGCAGTGGCGTATCCGAGAGACTGCACTGCATTGCCTGATCGAGGCTACATCGATTTCCCGCGGCAGCCGCGCCCTCCGCACACTCTCCACTGAATCCAGAGAGGGGCGCTTCAAAGTGGGCGATAAGGCGGAGGCCCCTCGGCCTCAGAGCACGAAGGACGAATCGGGCAGGGCGGAGCTGGCTAGAGGCATGGGTGCAGTCAAATACCGACAAGCCGAGGTGGTCTGCAGATTGCAGGTCGCACGGTCTATCATAGGCGCCGTCTTCGACGACGCGGGCGCCGGCATGGCGGCACGGCGCGATCAGGCCTGGCCTGGGATCGCGTGGAGGACTACCTGGAACACATCGGAGCCAGGACCTGGGGCCACTGGGAGGGCGCGAAGGGGGCGCGGGTGACCGAGCAGGCTCGGAAGCGCCCCGACGTCCTCGAGGACTTGTGCCACCTGTCCCGCAGATGTTTTCAGCTGCAAGACGTTCGCGCAGTGCGTTTTTGTACGCAGCCAGAAGTCGCGTGGTCAACTGGCCGGGCTGCGCCCGCAGCTTGGTCATTCGGCGTATCCTCCTGAACCCGAGCGACGTCCAACAGCAGCACTTGGACGGCGTCAAGTTCGACGCCCGCCATCTCATTGGCAAGCAGTGGAAGGAAGCTCGCATCGCTCAGTTTGTTGGGCGACGAACCGCTGCTCTTGCAGCAGGGGCGTTCGAGGACTGCGTCGTCGACGTCCCCGAGGACGCCGCCAGTGTCGCCGAGGGCCATTCACCATCCGCCCTGTGGGTCATACCAGAAGAGGCCGACAGCCAATTAGTGGCCCCGGCGCCTGGAGACACAGCACCGGCGCCAGAGTGCGCGCGCGCAGCGTCGCTGCTACTTGCGCGGCGCCTCCGCAGACGACTGCGCCGTGCTGGGCGAGGGGGAGGATGAAGAGAGAAAACATGTGAAGTTATGCCGGGGCCCGGGGGCGCGCGAAGCATGCCTGAGCTGCAACGGGGAACTGTCTGGCAATTGCGTTGCCAGCGCTTCCGCGACAGCTTGGCTCGATGTGCATTCCGCCGCCGAGACCGCGGCAATCGTCCGCGACGCCGACCTCCCGACCGAAGAAGTGCTGAGGCTACCGAAGGAACTCGCCGCCTCCATCCGCGAGGCTCACCATCTTGGCCAAGCGAAAGCGTTTCCAGAGGCGGCCACTCAAGGGCGCCAAGAGCGGCATGGGCTTCCCGCGCGCTTCAAGTGGAAGCGCCGGACGGGATCGGGCGGCAAGACCGCCAGGATCATCCGGCGCTGCACGGCGCTGAGAGGCCCCCGCGACATGGGCGCCGGAGCCCTCGATTCGTTCGCCGGGGCTGCGATGTGGGCGTCGCGGCGCGCGCTGCCCCCCGCGGCGGCGCGTCGCCCAGACTGGGTATGCCAGCGCGTCGCCGTGGACGTCGAGATGGCGCTCCTGCGGGGCACGGCCTGCCGAGATGCAGGGGCAGGGCGAAGCGCCCCGCGAGGTCAACTTCACCCTGCCGCCGGGCCGTGCAGCAATCCTCAGGCAGGTGCCAGGCTGCGAGTCCTTTGGTCCTTCGACGAGCGGACCGAGTGCTTGCGCTGCGTCGAGCCGAGCACGGGCTGCAAGATGCGCCCAGAGCCTTCTCCATGAGGCCCCCCCGCGTTGCGCGCTCGCCGGGGCGCGGGGCCAAGCCGGCGAGGTGGGGCCCAGAGCAAGAGGTCAAGCGCGAGACGCCGGGTGCCTGTGGCGGCGGCCGCTCAGTCCTAGTGCTCATGCTGTCCAAACACGTCGATGTCCTGAAGATCGCTGGGCGCGCGGCAAGGAGCGCGTCGACCGGCCGATCGGTCGCGTCGAGAGATCCCTCGGCAAGATGCCGGGGGACTACGACGACTTTAATTGCGGAGCCCGCCAGCGCCGCGGCGTCGATGGCACGGCGCTCGACCAGGACGCGTACATCGACGCCCTGATCCCCGTCGGGCGCGTCGACCTGGCCAGGGTGAAGGCCGACGAGCCAGCCGGAGGTCAACTTGCAGACCTTTCTACCTCCCGCCTCGGAGCAGAAGCCTGCGTTCTGCCCGCGCAGCACCGCGTCGCAGCCTGCGTCGTCGCTCTGCAGGGAGCCAAGAACAAGCTACTCTTCCGTCGCGAGATGCAGCTCAACTCCGTCGTTCTGGCCACGCAGAGAATCAAGGCGCGCGTCGCCTTCCCAGCCATGGGGCGCGCCGGGCGACTGCGCGCGCACAGCGACGGGTCGTTCAAGAGGGAGGAGGAGACAGGCTATGGCATGAGAGGAACCGTTTACATGCGTCTGGCAAGCGCCGCAGCACTGGCACACAAGTATGCCAGTTGCTCGGCGCTGCGAGCCGATCGCGCAAGTTGGCGGCCTGCAGGCGCACCTCTTGACG